GCTCCCCTTATATTCTTTCTAAAAAACCTGCAGTGATATCAATAGTCTTCTGTGTACATGGTGTACCATTTTTCTCAAATAGCTTGCTGCATTCACCATTCACCATGGTGAGCAATTTAAAGCGGACTCAAGCATGGTCTACATGTGGAGCAGAAAGAGGCGTAAATGAAGGAATAAAGTGTTGAGGTGGCAGAATGTGCCATACTACTTCAGACTGCAAGTGAGGGATTACATTTTTCAAAGTTCATCTTGATTAAAAATTACGTGTAATTGGAAAACTAACACAACATACAAAAGGTTAGGATAGCACTTTTGTTCCTGATGGACTAATTTTTATTCACAGTGGTTTTTTAGGTGGGGAAGCATTAGTTATGTAACACCTTGTCTCCCACAGTATGAACTGGTACAGAAATTTTCTACCACCTCATTCTGTTGCACGTGTAGATCAATCCTCAGAATGCTGGCTGTATAGCAAATACCAACTCTAACAGCATAAAAATAATCATAACAGAAAACCCAGGAATCAAGCACAACATAAAATAGGTAATACTTTAGGACTGAAGTCACTGAAACTACACATAAATGCATGGGAACAGAGCAAATTATTATTGACATAGAGGTAAAAGGATTAACTAAACCAAAGATCTACACCAGAATCAAATGAGGGGAGAGAAGGGTAAAGGCTGCAGCTAGCAACAGAGGGGGAACTGAAAATGCTGGAGTTGAAAGAATTTCAAACAAATCAAATTTGAGGTAATTCTTTTACAAGCAGGTAAATAAATATTTAATGGTTAACACAAGCCCAGAATTGATACCACTCCTAAATAGTCTCAAAAACTTTTGACAAGTTTTTAATATTAAAATTTAAGGCATTCAAATACAGTAGAGGTGCCGGAACTCTCAAGAGGGAAATGAAGTTTTCAGTCTGTATACTGAAAAACTCATGAACTTTAAAATATTTTAAAAATAATTTTGCTGAAGAGGTTCTGGAACTCCGTTCTGGTGTGTTCCCCCAGAAAAAAGCCCTGCAGTAGATGAATCTAAAATATCCAAGATTTGAGCAGCTATGAAGGGTTGGAGAAATAATGTGGAAAATATGGCTGTGTAAAAGACTGGTGAAGCTGATGGTATTATTACACAAAAGGCTTTCCAGTCTATTTGGTAACATTTCTCCTAACAAGGCATGAGAATGTTTAGTCAAAGATTCAGGATCCCTGGGCTATGCTCACTGTTAGTCATGCAATGGCATTCCTTCCGGGGGGGGGGGGCTGCCCCTTTGTTCCATCCCTTGGTGTATCCATGTAGAAACACTGACTGCCTAACATCAGGAGGTCATAGCTACATTGGCCAGCTGGGCGGGCCTGTCTGTGCCACTCACATGGGGCATTAATAGACTCTGCTCCTTGTAGGGTTGCCAGGTCCCCCCGGCCACTGGTGGGGGCAGAGTTACCAGATCCAGGTTGGGAACCTCCTGGAGATTTGTGGGTGGAGCCTGGGGAGGACAGAGACCTCAGTGGGGCACAATGCCATAGAGCTCAACCTCTAGAAATAAACTGTAATCTCAGGAGATCCCCCCAGGCTCCACCTGGAGGCTGGCATCCCTAGTGGATGTCACCAGGATTGGTGTGGACTCCAGTGCACTCAGTCTGTGGGCCAAGCTTTGACAAGGGATGTTATTCTCCCTGTGTGGAACAGCCATAGGATGAGTACTAGCGCCAGTGGCATGCTGACGATTCAGCAATTTACATTGACAACATTTTTCAGAAACATCTGTTCTGTTTCTTCAGGTTATTAGGGATGAGTACTAGAAAACAGGAACAGTTGGAGTCTATGAGCACATACTGCTTGCAGGGCATTTAGGTGTAGCAAGAAGCAAATGAAAACTGGTACAGAATTTTACTGACATGGAAAGGCAAAGTATGTGAAATATTTTTGTGCTAGTTCCCAGAATAACAGGAAGGATCGCAAGAGGTATATCAGAATTGTAGGAAGGTGCCTTTCCCCCCTCACAACACATCTTTCTGAATGACTGTGGATATTTCCTTGAATGGGCAAGCTTAATTGCTGAAGAAGCCATTCTTCAGATTTTTAACACCATTTCTAGAGTCCCTCAAAGGTAAAATTATGAGAAAAAGAGAATATACATTTTGGCTGTAGTACATATGTATGTGTGTGCACAATGATATAAAATAATTTACTTTATTATGATTAACAATTATTTGTCCCACTTTGTGTGGCTGTGGGTATTACAGCAAGTGCTGACATGCTGAAGCATAAATAGCACAGGTTTCCATTGTAATAAAAGCAGGGGATAATCTCTAAATATGTAAGTGCTCCCATGTGAGTTGCCCTTCACATGGTACTCCAAAAGCATGAGTCACACATACGCACTTATCAGCATTTACTGTAGCGGCCAAAGCTGTTTTCATGCCTTGAAAATAGGAAGATTCTGAAAAATTCTACAAAATGTATTGATTTACTATATTTCTAGTCTGTCTTTGATACTCAAGGCAGACTACACAGTGCAAACAGATATAATCAACATGAAGAGACGTCTAAAAAGTAATGCACTGGGGGCTCCAGAAATCTGAGTATGCATAGCATGTAATACAGAGTGCAGGTACAATGCAGGAAAATACTCTTACCTCAGGAGAAAACAATGCAGTGACAACAGTTAAATACGTGCAGCAAAAAATAAATACATCCTAAATCATGGTGGTATAGTCCACAGTTCGCTCCCCCCATAAATCACCTCCTTGAACAATTCTGTTAAAGAGTAGCATTATTATATTTAAGGAAAAGCCATCCTGAACAACTTCATTTTACTTAGTTTGAAGAATGGCAGAAGTGTGTGGGCCCTTACTGACCTCCTCAGGCAGGAAATTTTACAAGATAGGAGGCACAGTACAGAAAGCACATGTATGGGGTGTGTGTGTTGATCTTGCCTAATTGCAGGGAATTCTTGATAACTGTATGTGAAGAGGATTCAAATACTGCTGGGTCAATTAAGAGATGGGTGCAAAGAAAATGTTTAATGGACAGTACATGGCAGTGTTGTGTGTTACATTTTCAGCTGTCTTTTACTGAACATTATCTGTCAGCAAACATTTGAGTTGGGACCTGTGAACTCCAGAATAATGAAGTGCTCTGTCTTGACCATGGAGACATAGTGCCAAGGGAGATCTAGTGGAGCAAACTGAGATTTCCTATCTCTGTGCCTCTAAGGGGACAAATTTTTGGAAATTGACATGGAAGAAGTTAGATGTTTTTAGCAACACAATTGTGGCATAGCTCCCTGCTCAGCCAGCTGTTGGGGAGGAGGGTGTTGCCTTGGTAGATATTATATGTCACCATTGCCCAGGAATCACTGTGATGTAGTGATATGATTGGTGTCACTGTGGGTTAAGCAATTCTGCAGCACTATTACTGGGTTCATTCTGGATGCTGCTCTGTGATTGGTTGTGGTTCTTATTGCCAGGGTCTCAGTGGGTGGCGTTTTGGTTGTTCCTGACTTGCATGTTGTAACTTTAGAACTGTGATGGTTAAGTACAAGATACTGACTTGCTCCAGTTTAAATTGTGCCATAATCTTGGGGGATCAAAAGATTAACAGCACTACTTGCACCCTTAATTAGAAAGAGGGAGGTGGGGGAGGAAGAAAGTGTTATTGAAAACAGAATAATATTGCACTATGGACAACAGTCAGAGATTACATGTTTATGAAATACCTAAGTTACATACCGACAACAAATTATTGTGTGTGTGTGTGTGTGTGTGTGTTAAGTGCAGTCAAATTGCTTCTGATTTATGGCAACCCTATGAATTAATGACCTCCAAACAATCACATTGTTAACAGCCTTGCTCAGATCTTGCAAACTGAGGGTCGTGGCTTCCTTTATTGAATCAATCCATTTCATATTGGGTCTTCTTTTCCTGCTGCTTTCAACTTTTCCTAGCATAACTATCTTCTCATAATGTGATGAAAGTATGATAGCCTCAGTTATTCATTTTAGCTTCTAGGGAGAGTTTAGGCTTGATTTGATCTAGAACCCACTGATTTGTCTTTTTGATGGTCTAACACCACATTTCAAATGAATCAGTTTTCTTCCTCTCAGCTTTCTTCATTGTCCAACTTTCATACCCATACATTGTAATCAGGCATACTGTGGAATGACTTATCTTGATCTTGGTTGCCAGCATCACATCCTTATGCTTAATAATCTTTTCTAGCACCTTTATGGCTTTCCAGTCTCAGCTTCCTGACTTCTTGGCCTCAGTCTCCCTTTTGATTGATGATGGATCCAAGGAATAGAAAATCTTGAACAATTTCAATTTCTTCATCGTCAGCCTTAAAGCTGTGTTATTCTCCAATAGTCTTTATTTTTGTCTTCTTGAGAAATTATTAATAGTATAATATGATAAACATTACTTTTTAGAAAATGAAGGAATCAATTAACTTATTGAAAAGCACTTAGTTGCAATACAAAGTAATTTAAAACATGATACCTCGCTAAGGAAAGTTCAAGGTTGTGCATGCATAGAACACGTCTGGGAAAATTCAGTGTGAATAGTTCAATAACCGCCTGAATTCTGTGGAATCTGAGCAGTATAGAAGACTCGAAAAAAGGACTTGGACGAGGTGGGGGGTGGGAATACCTGTAGTCAGTCACTTGGGAATAAGCCCCAGTAAAATCAGGAAACTTCCAAGAAAATATATAATGAATCCCAGAATCTTGCAAGACTGCCACTCGGGTTGTCATCGCAACAATGCCTCCTTCTGATCTTCTTGCACAACGGCTTTAGCTTAGCTGCAGGCTCCTTCTCTAGCGGGGACAGCACTAGCTGGCCCAGCCCTACATGGGGGGGGCTCTCCTCCTCCTCCCCCCCCCCGTGCGCCTTGTGCCTCTCATCTGAGAGAATGACTGGCCTGACTCCTCCCCAGTGAGGTTTCACAGACTCACCGCGACGCGGCCAATCACTGGCAGCTGAGCTCTCGGGGCGGTCCCCTTTAACTCTGGGGTGACCGTAAAGCGGGTCCGCAGAGGAGGAAGTATCCGAGCAGCTCTCAGGGACGCGCTGGTTTTTCTCTTCGTTAGGCGGGTAAGTTCAGGCGCTTGTAGTTTCAGAAGATAGTTGCGACGGCATTTGAGGGGGCCCGAACTTTGCGAAGTTGCAACCGAGAGCTTTCCGGTTTCCTGAGGTTTCTCCCGCCCCGCTAGCCAGCCACGCCCTACTTGGGCCCGGCATATTTTTCTCGAGTCGCACCCCTCCCGCTCTCCCCCCCCCCCCGCTTTGGCCAAAGTTTCCTGCCCTCGGTGCCTGACACCGGCCGCGCGGGGCTCGCCCCACTTGACAGAACAGCTCAGGGGCCTCGGTGGCAAGAGGCTTCCGTGGCCAGAGTCCGGAATAGGCCAGGGAGGGTTCTTTACGTCGCCGGCGGGAATGCTGTTAGGCGCGGTCTGAGGAGCATTTGCCGGTGTGCTTTAGCAAGGGCGATGTAAGGTTGGAGAAGCAGGAGGAGGGAAAACAGCGATCGCGGCTAGTCCGCCCTGAGAAAAACAAGAAGCTGACTGCAAGGCCGCCACATCGTAGTGCTAAGAGCGGCTTCCTGTGCGAGCCGACCTCTCTTGAGAATAAAACTGTCTCCTAAAGGTAGCCTGGCAGGGAGAGTGGGAATCGATCCTGAAGTTACCACTTTCCTGGATTTTGTGCTTTTACCGGATAAATAGCTGACGTTCAACAGGTGGGACTCGTAGCAAAAAACCGAAGTAATAGGGAAAAGCCCTTAATGCTCCCCTTCGTAAAACTGTTGAGAGACTTTCCCCCAGACATGTAGCTGCTGAAAGAACAGATCTACCAGAGAAAAGAGAGAGGGGTACTTGTTTTGGCCTGTGCTGAAGTTCTGCTCAGTTAATAGTGGCTGCGGGCATCCCGCTTTTCTCTTCCCACACCCATTTACTTCAGTCCTGTGAACTACCCTTTCCTAGTATGTTGTTGTAAGTGGATGATGGGCCTAGTTTTATGTGGGAGGGCTATTGGGGGAACAGGCTGATGTGGTAGCATTTCAAAATTATTATGGGATGGGCCTACTAAAGCATGACCTGTGTGAGCATCAGTTTATAAGGCACAGCTGGGTTGCTTGGCTTTCCTTATCCTGCTCTGTATATTTTGGAGGGGAACCCAGTCAGACCTGAAAACCATCCCCTCAGTGGTGATCTTGCTGCATGAAGTATTTTAAATGACTGACTGTATAAATTGGAGAAAGTTGAGGTAGCAGTACATAGTTCTCACCCAGAAGGATTAACCTGCTGAATGGCCTCTACTCTGGGAGTCTGTCTTTCTCTTGCACACACACATACATACTTGCATACATGCATGGTCAGATCCATATACATCAGAAAGAGAAAAGGGGCTGGATAAGAACATAAGAGAAGCCAGTGCTTCTCTTATAAGAGGCCAATGGCCCATCCAACACTCTGTCACACAGTGGCTAAAAATACCAAGTGCCACCAGGAGGTCCACTAGTGGGGCCAGGACACTAGAAGCCCTCCCACGGTTGCCCCCCCCCCGCACCAAGAATAGAACGCATCACTTGCCCCAGACCGGGAGTTTTTATCTATACTATGTGGCTAATAGCCACTGATGGACCTCTGCTCCATATGTTTATCCAATTCCCTCTTGAAGCTGTCCATGCTTGTGTGGAGACTCTTTCTGTTCTGCACTAGGCAAAAGACACAGTTGAGGCAAAAAGACACCCATCTTCCTTTCTCTGTTCCAAAGGATTTGGTGCAGTCAGATTATAATTGATGAACGGTGGCTCTGACATTCTAGTACTTTGTGCTTGGGGAGTTTTAATAAATGGACTCTGTTACCCTCTACTTTTAATTAGTTGGCCCTGACCTGGATTGCCCAGGCTAGTCTGATCTTGTCAGATCTCAGAAGCTAAGTAGAGTCGGCCCTGGCTATTATTTGGGTGGGAGACCTCCAAGGAACACCAGGGTCATTACACAGAGACAGGCAATGGCAAGCCACCTCTCAATGTCTCTAAAGGGTTGCCATAAGTCAACTGTGACCTGACAGCAAAACACACATACACAACAACAAACAAGTTGCTTCATGGGAAATGTGAGAGCTCATAGCCACAGTGCCTTTAGATGCCATCTTGAGACAATGATCTATAGGTGAAATCTGGACTGGAAAAGTATTTAAGATCTTAAATGCCAGAACCACATTTCTAGGAGTCTTTGCGGTTATCATTTTAAGCTGCCTATTTCAAACTTGGGAAGAGACAATGTAGGAGGTTTGACCCAAAGCATGATGAAATTCCCACTTTGTAGTTTGTAGCTGCTGCTACCTTGCCTGATGTGTAGATATCACACACAAAAGCTGTGCATTTCTACTCTTCTCCCCCCCCAAGTGATGTACCCAGTAGAACAAGAATAATGTAGGTGGAGAGCAATTACATGTGGCCTCCTTGAAGTTTGGTATGATAATACACACTTGACAAGAATAAGATGACTCTTCAAAATGTGTGTACTAATTTGATATTTTTTATCATTGCACTGCTATTGTAAACTCTTGATTATGCTGGAGGCTCTGCACATTCTCTGGAGGAGATAGTTGCTGCTGGTTTGGTTATGGATTTATTAAAGGGTCAGGGATTATTAACTCAAGCAAGCTAAACTGGGATTGCAGAAACGCAATATCATTTTCTTCCAAAGTTCTGTCATGGTCTCTTTTTGTGGAATACAAATTTTGTAAGGTGAGAGCCATTAAACAGATACCACAGGTCACAAGCTGTTGCAATCCAGTAATTGTTTTAACTCTTTTCCCCCCACATTGTACCAAGAAAGTTCATAATATGACCATCCTGCCAAATTTACAGCCCAGCTGTATGCCATAATTTTAAATATGAAGTTACGGTAATACAAGTTTTGCCACTTAATTATGGCCTGCTGTCTAAATTCAAATGATGCTCTAAACAAAGGATATGTAGTCTCTGACATATTGTGATCTTCCTTCCCACCTGTTCTAGATCACAGTGGAGCACTATGGCAGCTGCTGCTATCCACAGCTAGGTTGGTTTGGTGTTGTCTTTAGAGATAGTCTTAAATTTGTGAGAAAGACAGGGATCATGCACAAGGATAGGTGTTCTGCTTGTCCCTGGCAGCTTTTTACAGACTTGGCTTAAACTTTTGCTTTTTGCCTACTTTTTGTGTTACATACCTCGCACATACAGCTCCAATCCAGAGTGTATTTGTTAGAGAGGCTGCTGCTCCTGGGACTTAGCTGTGGTGGACCAACATTTCATCCAGATCAGAGAAACATCTGGGATTCTGTGAGGGAAGCTCTGAGCCCAGAGCAGAGGAAGCCCAAAATTGCATATGCATTTTAAATTGCTTTGGTTATCACTTGAGAGCTTTCTCCTTCAGCTAAAGCAAGAAAAGCATAACATGTGAATAGTAGTAATGTGCATTGTCTAACATGCAAGATGACACAATAGCCCACCTGCTTAACTTGGAAAGTGACCCATGCTGTCCTGTGACTAAATTTGGATGCAGTCCTGTAGGTATTCTTCTTTTACCATCATCTTCCCTGTGAAGCTGAAAAGGGGAAAGCCATGTTGGTTTTGTTGATGCCTTGACCATTTGCCTTTGCTTTTGCAGTAGTGTGCATCATTGCTTTTGGGCACACATGTTGTTCTGAAAGAAAAATTAAAATAAGCTTCCCCATCTGCTAAGAGTAGTAGCAACTGTATTAAAGATGGAGTGGACATGTGGAGTTTTCTGAGGATCAGTGGAATTGGCACAGCTTTTTCTCATGCATGGGGAAGAGGGTAGAATATGGAAAATCACAAATGTGTATAACTCTGCCAAAAACATGGGAGAGGAGGACTAAAACTGTGGTTTAGATAGAACACACTTGTTAACAAGTGGCATAAAAATGCAGAAAATTTCATTTACCTCCCTACATCAATTGATTTTTTTTAAAAATTGATACAAGCACACTTAAAATTACATTTCTTTTGTACAAACAATGGGTGAGAGGTTCAGAAGTGTTTTAAGTGGTACCTGTGACATTTGTTAGAGGTGCTGATATTTTAAATGGAAAAGTGTGTATGTGTGTGTTTATGTGGGGGTTATGCCTTGAGCTGTGGATTTGGAGTACTTTTGTGCCATGCTAGTCTCATATAATAAGAGACTGCTGTCCATGATCAGACTTTCTAGAACTTGTGTTGGTATCTAGTTGAATGTGGTCTGGCAAACTCGGAAGCGGGGCTGAAAAATGTTAGGTCTCTCAGGGAATGCATTACATTTTTCTAGGGACTTTGTATCTCCCCCCCCCCCCCCCCCGCGCGCTAACAAGTGGTTTATAGGTCTGATTACTGGGAGCGTGCATCCCATGTGATCAGAGCATGCCATTAGAGGCTGTTCTCCTTAGGCCATGGGAGGCCTGCTCTCCTTGCCCTGGAACTGTATCAGTTGTTTGATTCTACATCACATAAATCTGCTAACTCTGCACTAGCAGATCCTCACTGAACAGCTCACTAGGTAACAGCCATTGTTTGTCCACTCTGTATGAGGTCTGTACTCTGTCTATACCACTCTGTAGGCTCAGCGGCAGTTCTGTGGTGTGTTCTTGTCTTGGGGGAAGCAGGATCCCTGTGTAAAACAGGCTTAGGTTATTATTTAGGAATGTTACTTGCTGTTGGCAGTCTCTAGGAGCTGTGGTTGTAAGGTGGAATGAGGCTGTAGCCACAAATGGGAGCCATACCAGAGTAGGTTGTTGAGTAAAGGCTGCCATCCAGCAGTCTCACACAGTAAAAGCAAGGCAGCTGTGTTTGTGCCTGTATTTCTACTTAGCTGCCTTACCTTTAAATAATAATACATACATACAACTCTTCAGTAGGCTGGGAAAATGGGGTTACCTACTTTGAAAAGCCTATGAATATTACCTTATACATTATAGTATCTCTGTTGTGGGATGGGGGAGACCATGCCTGAAAGTGGTGAGGGAGAGACATAAAATTTATCTCTATGAATTAGCCTGTGGTGCTGAATGGTGATTGTCTTGGGGGCATCACTGTGTTATGTGGCCTA